TGTGTGTGTGTGTGTGTGTGTGTGTGTAATGTATTTGGTAGAGGGTCTTACTATGCACTTATCACTTATGGTGATCTTCCTGTTTTCAGCCTCCCCAAGCACTGGGATTATAGGCATGCACCTCCAGCTCAGTGGTGGCCAGCTCAGTGTGCCCAGAGGCAGGGCCAACAAGGCACTTGGTGCTGGGGATCAAACCCTGGTCCTGGCACTTGCCCAAGCAGATGCTTAGTCCACTGAGTTATCTTGCTTGCCGGCCCTTGTGTCTTTTTAATGAATTTTATATTCTTCAGCATCTTCATGTCCATCACCATCCCACGAGCCAAAAGGTTCTCCAGAGGGATATCAGGGGCCAGCAGTGGGGATGGGGAAGGATAGGCTGAGAGTTGTCCTAGGTACTCTGGCTGGGACACAAGATAACAGGGCTCTCATGGAGAGAGCCGGATTCCCACTGGGAGCCTGGGGGGGGGTTGAGATTTGCAGGAGAAAGGTTGGATTGACTGGTGGTGGATGTGGTGGACACACAAGATAGAAACCTCCAGGGCACCTGACATTGGGTAGATATTTGACCCTTGCATTGGGATCCCCACATGTTTAGATATTTGCTCCATCCTTCCCACCACCATGTAGGCTTGATCTGTCCTCTCCAGGTTCTACATTTTCAAAATCTTGTTTTAGGTGGTCAGATACTCTTCCTGTCATTCCTCAGCAGTTTTTTTAGATCAAGGTTTCAAATTTACACTTGTATATTGATATATACACACTTCACAACTGAGTCATATAGAAAGCTCTGATTACTATTCCTTTAATGTATAACTTTTCGTTTTCCTTGGAGTTATAGCTGCCTTTATTTTGTTTGCCTGTCTTGGTTTCTGTATGTTTTTCCCTAAATCAACCTCAAATTCTTTCCCAGTGTTCTAAATATCCTTCAAAATTTTCATTTACAGATGAGGTTTGTATCAGTTGAATTTTCTTGAAATCTCTCCAAAAGCCCACTGGCTTGCCTGCCATGGACTGGTTGATATCTTGGCAGTCTTGTGAGATCACTTTCTCCCTTCACTGTTATTATCCTGAAAATTCTTTTACCTATTTTGGGTCTTACGTTTAGTATATCCTACAATTTCACCTTCTTGGTTTCCTACCTTATTTTATGGAGCACATACGCTAGTAGTTTGCTGAACAAGGGTGCATAAGATGGTACTTTGGAGGCTTTGCATGTCTGAAAAGTTTTTTTCTACCCTCACACTTAATTGATAGGTTGGCTAAGTGTTAAATTATATGTTGAAAATAATATTTCTTCAGACATCTAAAAGCATTATTCTACCTTCTAGCATCTAGCATTGCTCCTGATATTTTTGTACATGACCTTTATTTTCTCCAGAAATTTAAATTACATTTGTCTCTCAATGGCTATGGAGGATTGGGTGAAGAACCCCCTGTGGATATCACTGACGCTCGAGTTTCTCATATAAAATAGTATAACCTGTATGCATCTGTCTTCCTGTATAGTTAAAATTATCTCTAGATTACTCCTAATACATGATATGTTATGAATGCTATGTAAATAGGTATTATACTGTATGGGTTAGGAAATAATGACCAAAAAAATGACATAGTTTTGTTTGCTTGTTTGGGGCATGAGGGTGGTTGAATGTGCAGATGTAGAACTCACTGATATTAAGGATCAGCTGTATCTTCTCTGCAATGAGTATTCCAGATTTTCTCATAAGGTTTTTGTTTTTTCATCCTAATACGAGGGGACTGTTGGGAACCCTTTCAACCCAGAAATTTCCTTAGGCATTTTTCTTGACTTGATTGATGAGTTCTTTCCCTTCTGTTGTTGTAGTCCAGTTATTCAGTTACTGAATGTCCTTCTCAGTGACTTACCCACCCTTCTCTAGTTCATCTTTTTTTATTTATTCTATTTCTTGTGAACAGTCTACAATTACATCTTCCTGATTCTCTACATCATTTTTAATTTCTACTGCTGTTTCTTTCCTTGAGGGCATAGTGAGGGGTAAGTACAGGGTGGGGGGATGCATTCTGGAATATCATCTGGTTATCCCTATTAGTACTTAAGGATTCATTTTTCTCAGGTCTCATAAATTATTTTCCTCTAGTTTCCAAAGTATCTTAACTGGTAGTTTCCCCCTGTCCTCATCCTTGGGAGTTTATAGCTTTATTTACTTATTTTATATAAATAGTACTGAGGCTGTACCCAAGGCCTTTGTTCTGGGCTACATCGCTAGCCATTTATTTATTTACTTCCTTATTTTGAAGCAATCTCACTAATTTGAACTTGTTAATCCTCCTGCCTCAAGCTTCTGAAAGTGCAGGAATTACAGGCATATGCCATCAGCCATGCCTCATATTTTTAAAAAAATCATTTTATGATTGTTTTAGTGGGATTTGAGGAAGGAATAAAATTAGATACAAAGGTCAGGCTTACAGTCTTACAGAGAAATCTTTTTGGCTATAGGGTTTTTTTTTTTCTTTTTTGTTTTTTGGGGTTTTTTTTGGTTTTTTTAGATAAATAAGCTAGCCAGACCTCAATGATTAAAGGGCCTGCTTAGGCATAGTGCAGCAGCTGGGGTTTGATCCCCAGTGTGCCCATACTGTGCTGGGCCCACCCCCAGGACGCACTGAGACTGAGATTGAGACTGGGTGTGGTGGCCTGTGCTGTAATCCCAGCACTTGGGGGGCTGAAAACAGGAGAATCAGTACAAGTCTGATCTGTATAGTGAGACACTGTAGGCCCTGTAGTAAATACATTTTTTAAAAAAATGCCACTGAAGCCGGGGATATAGCTCAGTGGCACAGGGCCTGCCTGGCAAATGTGAGGTCCTGAGTTCAGGACCAGTACCCAAAAACAAGATTTTTATGTCTGTGGCAACTAGTTTAACATGGTTAACCTTTTCTCCATTCTCATTTTACAGTTCCTGATGACCATCTTTTATCGTAAGTATGCACCGTCTTGTGTTTGATTTTTTTTTTAACCATTAGTTTGTTTTTAAGATCTAAATCTTTTCAGTAGCAACTCTTGGTTTTTAAAAATAGGAACAGTTTTTTAATATGATTATTAAAAAATCTTTCAAATGAATCTTTCACATCATATTGAACAGTGTAAGTTACTACTATATTATCCTATTTACTGGTCTTAACAGTTATAGAAATTGTAACTATTACAGTAACACATGGAAAAACAAAGTATAGCTATCTTCAAGGACAGATAGGCATGGTGGCACACATCTGTAATCCTAGCACTCTGGAAGCTGAGGAAGGGGGATCGTTGCAAGTTCGAGACCAGCCTGGGCTACAAAGTGAGCTCAAGGGCAGCCTGAAGTGCATAGTGAGAACCTGTCTCAAAAATACCAAAAAAAAAAGAAAAAGAGAGAGAGAGAGAGAGAATTATTATTTGCAGGTGATATAACTACTTTAAAAACAAAATGATAAATAAAAGCACCAAAATAAAAAATCATTCTACAAAATCAAAAAATATATTCTCAATAGCAACAGAAAGGGGCCAGGGAGATAGCTCAGTAGAATAAGTACTTGCCTGGCAAGTGCAAAGTCCTAAGTTCAATCCCCAGTACCACAAAAAAAAAAAAAAAAGAAAAAAAAATAGCAACAAAAAACTACCTAGAAATGACATCTAGTTGCATGTTTTTCATAAGAATTATATATTAGATGAAAAATAAATCACTATTTTAAAAGCAGAGAAAATGAAAGTAGCCAAAAACTTTGGGGGAAATGATCTTACTAATAACCATTAAAAATTAAGATAACTAGGGGAAACTACCCGCTCGGGCCCCCCTCCTGTCCCTCTCTCGGGACAGGAGCATTCTTTCTCTCAATAAATATATTCTGCTCATAAGAAAAAAATTAACATAACTTTTCATCTATAAAACTAGAAGCCACAGCAAAAATGTTGTTAGGAACATAGTGAAAGAGATACATGAAACCTTCTTGGTAGGAAGGTAAATTAGAGCGTTACCTAGCAACAGATAATACAGCTTTAAAACATACATATTTTTTTCTTTTCCTTTTTAGACAGGGTCTTGCTGTTCAGTTCAGGCTGACCTTGAACTCACTGTTTACCGAAGCTAGCCTCAAACTTGTGGCAGTCATCCTGCCTCAGCCTCCCAAGAGCTGAGATTACAGGCATGTGCTACTACGCTCAGCCATGAAATATATTCTTTGACCCATTTTTAAGAATGTATTCCAAGGAAGTAATTGTATGTGTTCATAAAGATTTTATAGTAAGCATATTCATGTAGTATAGTTTATGGAAGCAACAAAACAACCAGGAACTAACCTAACCAAAATAGTTTGGAAGCATAACAGTTGAGTTTTATAGTACAAATCTTTGTTGCTATGAATGCAGTCAAATATGCACAATAGGTAACAAAGTAGAAAAAGCAGCTTTAAAAGATTTTTAAAGTTTACTTATCTCTAATTGATAAAGTTCTCACCAAGTTTTCTTTTTTCTTTTTCTTTTTTTTTTGTTGTTGTTGTTGTTGACTATATTATCATGTTTACTATTAAAAACTCAAGCCGTGCATGGTGGCACATGCCTGTAATCCCAGCACTCAGCAGACTGATATAGGAGGATGGTTGCAAGTTTGAGAACAGCCTGGGTTACAAAGTGAACTCAAGACCGGCCTGAACTGAAGTATGCAGTGAGATCCTGTCTCAAAAAGACATAAATAAATAAATAAATAAATAAATAAATAAAACTCAACATTTTATACATGAGATTAGATCATAGGAAAATGAAGTAATATGCTTGTTATATTTTAAAATTTATAGAATAATCCCATATATATATATTCATACATTACATATGTATATGGATGCACAACCTATAATTAAATACAGGAACATTAACAGGAAAAAATATATGTGATTGGGACTGGAGATGTAGTTCAGCGGTAAAGCAGATGCTTCCTATGTATGAGGCCCTATGTTCGGGGGTTTATTTTTTCAGGGGGGTATTTTTATTTTTTATTTTTTGGCAGAACCAGGGATTGAACTCAGGCCCTTGCACGTGCCAGGGAAGCACTTACTCCACTGAGCCATCTCCCTGGCTCCTGAGGCCCTATGTTCAATCCCAAAGCAAAGGAAGGAATGGAGGGAAGGAAGAAAGAAATGCATACGATAGCCAAAGAGGTGAAAGGAAGTGGGAACAAATAAGGTACCACTACACAAAGTATATAGGACTTTTTTTTTAAATCTATAATAGTTTATTCCTTTTATTTACAAAAAACCAAGAACATTTGAAATGAATGAGCAAGATAATATTTATTAGTTCTGGGGAGTAAATGAGCCCATAGGTTTTCTCATATGTATTTGATTTATTCCAAGTTAAAATGCATTTTTTAAAAATGCTGAGGGGATGAGATACATAGCTCAGTAGAGAGTGCTTACCTAGCACACATGAAGCTCTGGGTCCACCCACAGTGTTGAAAAAAATAACTGCTGAGGATAGTGCTCCTTTAGATGTAATTACTGGAGTGACTGAGAATTTTAATCCAAAGCCTTTCTGTTTACCAGGCTGAAGTTTGTCTTTGGTTCATCAGCTGTCCAGGCCTTGGATCTAGTTGATCGACAGTCTATTACTTTAATTTCTTCACCCAGTGGAAGGCGAGTTTACCAGGTAGAAGGCGGGGGGTGGGGGGTGATGGGGGCGTGTGAATGCAGGGCAGGATGTTCTCAACAGGAACACCTTAGGACAAAATGTCTTCATGAATCTCTTTAGAAGCTAGTAACCAGTTTGAAGTATTTTCTCAACTATTGAAAAGCTTTTGAGCCCCCTTAGTAAAATTAGTATATTAGTAATTCATTTTAAGTTGACAAAAAGTATGTACTTATAGCATACAAAAATTGATATTTTGATATATGTATACCTTGTTGGATGACTAAATCAGGCTGTTGCCATATGCAGTACCTCCCATACTTATTTTGTGTACATGTGTTGTGAGAATACTTAATACCTGCTCTCTTAGAAACTTCCAATCATATAGTACATTGTCATTTAACTATAGTTACCATATTGAATAAAAGATCTCCTGAACTTACTCCTCCTGCCTGACAGAAATTTTGTACCCTTGGAAATACCTCCCTAATCTCCCCTTTACCTCTTAATCCCCTGGTAACCACTTTTCTATGAGCTTGACTATTTTAAATTTCACATATAGGTGAGATCATGCAATACTTGTCTTTCTGTACCCAGAATATTTTGTTATTTCACTTAACAGAATATCCCTAGGCATTTAAGTAATTAAAGTAAGACAAATATGATTTATTAGCTCTGCCCAGTAATTGTATAGAACCAGCAGTGGTATGGTGGAGGCTCTTTTCTCAAGTCTCGTGAGTCAACTTTTGCTTTCTTCTTCTTCTTTTTTCTTTTTTCTTGGTGGTGGGGTGGGGGAACGAAGGACCAAACTCAGACCGTTGTGCTTGCCAGGGAAGTGCTTATTCTACTGAGCCATCGCCCCCGGCCCCGCTTTCTTCTTGATAGTAGAGGCACTACTCCCAATAAACGTGCTGACATTTTCATCTCTTTCATAATCTCTTGCTTACAGAAAAGGCCAGATTGTATTTTGAGGTCCTGTAGTTAGGGTAAACCAAGGCACAATTGAGACCACTTAGGCAAGCAGAATTTAAACAACATAGGAGAATGTATTGCAGTTCAGGTGCATCCAAGCTGAGCGTGAAGACCATTGGCTCTAAGCAAAAAGTGAGAGCTTATTTTATAGGGGAGTTTAGTTAGTGAAGGGGGACATTTCGGGGGGGGGTATTAAATTTGTATGTGTGTCTTTTTTTAATGTATTTGTTACAGGGTCTACAGAGTCTTAGTATGTAGATCGGACTCATAGTGATCTTCCTGTTTTCAGCCTCCCAAGTGCTGGGATTACAGGCACAGGCCACCATGCCCAGTCTTAGTCACATCTCAGTCACCGTCTCTTCTGGGGGTAGAGCCACCATGCAGGGGATAGAACCCTGGCCGTTGCACTCAGCCTAAGCAGGCGCTTTAGTCCCCTAAGCTATCTGGCCAGCCCTAAAATATTGGTCTTTGAGTATGGGATCTGGAGCTGGCTGATAGGGTACAGGGGTGCTGGCTTGCACAGCATGTCTCTTGTGGGGTTTTAGTTGTTTTTGTTTTTGAGGAATCAGCTCTGTTCAGGTATAGCTATATGGGGCAGCTGCTAGCTGGTTGAGAAAGCTATAACTTCCTATTAACTCTATGTACCTGCAGGTGTGAGTAACAGCTCTGCTTGGGGAGTTTTTCTCTCCTAGCGAGGTGGGGGTCTAGTTAGACCTGAAACTTTTCATGTGCTTAGAATGAGCTAGAAGAAATGATCTCTCAGAATTGTCAAGTAGTACTTATTAAGGGTTATGCTGCTAAATGCAAGTAGTCTGCTTAGGCCTTAGTTTTGCTCCTGGAGCTTGTAGGACAGATAGGTAGATCTATGAATTAACTTCTTGCAGACTTTTAATTATACTACTATCATGTATTATTATAATTATTATCAGAAATCCTGCAAATTATTTCTTTTATGGGTAATGGAAATGAAAGGCACAAAGTAATATAACAATCAAATTTGGTTGGCTGTTTTATAATCTGAGACTAGGATAAAGACTACTTGTAAAACTAACTGCCTACTCCCCTAGGTTAACATGAGTTACAGAGGTAAGTGATGCAGGGGTTGAGGTAAGAGAATGAGATTAAAATATTGGCAGCAATGGGCCACGGAGATAGCTCAGTGGACTAAACACCTGACTAGGCAAGCACAAAGACCTGGGTTCTATCCCTGGTACCACATGCTGTGCTGGCCTCAAGCCAGCCACCAAGGCTGGGCATGGTGGTGCATGCCTGTAATCCTAGACTGAGGAGGTTGAAACAGGAGGATCGCTACAAGTCTAAGCTGCATAGTGAGACCCTATACTAAATACATAAAATTTTGGGCCAGCCAGATAGCTCAGTGGGCTAAAGCACCTGCTTAGGCAGACATAGGGACCAGGGTTCAATCCCCAGCATGCTGTGCTGGCCCTGCCCCCAGGGTACAATGAGATAGCAAATGAAACTGGGCATGGTGGCCCACGACTATAATCCCAGGGCTTGAGACGCTGAAAGCAGGAGGAACACGATGAGTCCAGTCAGTGTAGTGAGACCCTGTAGACCCTATACTAAATACATTAAAAAAAAAAAAATTTTTTTTAAAATACTGGCAGCAAGATGCAAAGTTGTGTGTGGATAAGAAGGAATAAAAAAAGAACAGTCAGCTATAGTCTGTTGCTGAGACTTTGCTGAAGATAAACATGGAGGAAATTTTTCATTGTTTGAATTTGGGTCATTTTACAATTAATTTCTTAGAGTTAAAAACATGTCATTTGCTCTCATTGAGTAGATTTGTCAGTTAATTCATAGGGAATGAATGATTTGAGCAAAGCCTGCTTTGACAAAGAGGTAAGTTCATTAAGCAAAGAAGTACCTTTGCTTAATGAACTTGTCATTCTATACTGTAGCATCACTTCTTTGATCTGGCAAAGTCATCACAATGTTTCTTAACATTGAGGAAAATGGAGTAATGTTGGATGCTACAGTTATAAAGTTTATATATTATTTTCCTACTCAACATAGATTGCTTAGGTAGAAAAATTTCCTCTGGATGAGCATATAGATAAATAATCAGTCACTAAATTTATTTGTATCTAAGAAAGTGTTTGGTTTTTTCCTGGCATTTTATTGTGTGTGTGTGTGTGTGTGTGTGTAACTAAAATACCAAAACTACAGGGCCCTTAAGAGTTTTTCCCCACTTTTTTTAGCTTGGGAATTTTAGTTTTAGTTCCATTATTAGCATAACCTTGAGCTAATCAAGCAGATTTTTAGCTCTTCTCAAGTTCTGTGCTGTGGTTATCAATTAAAATCTTGAAGATCTTGTTTAAAATATCTTATTTTTAGCTTTTTGTTCATCCCAGAGGTCAGTGTGACTTGTTTAGTTTTTGTCATTCATATCCAGTATTATATTACATTCCTTTATTAGTCATAAAAGTGCCTAGAATTGTGGTTGTCAGCTTGGACCTTGAGTTAATGAGACTGTATAAATCTTATATACCCTCAAGTTAACCTTAATGGTTGTATTATGCAGTAATGCAGTAAGAATTTGGCTTAATTCATGGGCTGTGTAAGATGGTAAAAGCTGAGTCAGAAGCTGCTGTGATACCCAGTTCATCACCTTTCCATAAGTCAGTCTTTATTCTATAGTTCAGCTGAATATTTTTACTGTCCTTCAAGTGTTAATTACTCTAAAGTCACCATTTTGTTGCTGTTACCTAAGCTGCTTTATAGAAACTTTTTGCTCACTTAAAAAGGATATTTCAATCAGGAGGATATTCAAAGGCTAAGTTGGTTGTGCTGTGATAACAGTCACCTTCAAACGTAAAGGCTTGCAAAAACAAAATTTTATATTCATTCAAGCCACATACCATCAGGACTTAACTGTTGTAGGACTGCTCTGAACTGTTGTAATTCAGAAATCCCAGTTGGTGAAACAACTCCTTTGTGGAACAATGTGGAACTAATGGCAGAAAAAGGAGGTCATGATATGCTACAATTTTTGACTTTTCCACTTGTCTACTTAAATTTTGCTGACTAAAGGTGGTTCACATAGCCGATCTGTATTCAGTAGTACAAGAATGCATAATCCTTTTTCCAGAGAGGTACCAACTACAAGAAACAATAAATAGTTACAACTTAGCACCATGAAGTATACTAAGAGGCTTGGAGCAGTCATAAAATAAGGCTGTATCCATGAATGGATAACCATCTAGGTAGGTCACACAGAAATCACAGCAGACTTTCTAACTGAAATCACAGCAGACTTCCTCTCAGGGAGGTTCCTTTGAGTTCAATCATGGCCTGAGTACTGTAACCTCCTTCCTGCATATTTTTGAAGATCTCATTTCTTCTGAGAAAAACATTCCAGACTGAGTGGAAGACCTCAGAGCTGTTCCTGTAAGAGGAGGTCATTTTTCCATTGAAGGGTAAAGGAACTAAATTAAATTATCCCTAAGGTTAATTTCCAGTTCTAAACATTTCTAACTTAGATTTTTGCCTGATTATTGGGTTCAGTTGTTGTCTACTGCTAGATAAGGAGCAAACAACTTCAAAATTTGGTTTCTTTGCAGTATTTACTGACTCAGGCAGTTGAACATTTTACTTTGAGTCTTTGGCAATCCTATAAAAGGATCAGGCAATGGCGCCCCTGTAGAATCTTATCCCTGTCCCTAAGTCACCAAGCATTTATTCAGCATAGTCCAGGGAACATTCTCTGATGGATATAAGAACCATCCACTGAATCACTGAAATCAGTGCAGAATCTTATAGGCTTAGGCATATTTAAATCTAAAGAGAAAAGAACACAGGAAATAACAAAAGAAAAAATTAACACTTTACTCATTGGTAATAGTTTGTGGGACCCAAGAATTATTCACATCACTGTTAGATAGTGGTAAGTTTTCTTTAGGATTAAAGAGGAAACCAAATACTTTAATATTCTCCTTTCAGTTTAAGTCTTCCAGACACACTAGAGAAGTTTTTTATTGACATTGAGTGGTATATATGTTCATAACACTTCAGGATCTTGTGATAGTTAATATATAAGCTGTGATTCATCAATACCTAATTTAAACTGAGGCTAAAATCTTTAATGGTTATAATAGGCATCTCCTTACTCACTGAGTGATAAAATCCCTAGAAATCTAGCAAACCCTAGATAAGTCTTCTGATTTGGTCAGAAATTATATGAAGGTGGCTGCATCAAGTACTGAATATGTGACAGACAGAAGCCCAACACTTGAATATATTACTTTTTCTATTTACAGTTTTACCTATTTCTTTAATCTCTGGGGTGGGATGTTATGATTTAAATCTAGAATGTCTCCCAAAAAGACTCATGTGCTAAGAAATGTGTTTTTTATTTTTGTTTTTTTGGAAGGTGAGTGGATCATAGAGGGTGAGCTATATTCATCAGTGCATTAACCTTGTTTTTGTTTTGTCTTTTTTGGCGGTACCAGGGATCGAACTTGGGACCTTGTGCTTGCCAGGCAGGCACTTATACTGCTGAGCTATCTCCCCGGCCCCCAAAATTAATCTGTTGATGAGTTCATAGTTGAATGTATTTTTAGGAGGTGGGACCTGGTCAGAGAGGCAGATCACCAGTGGTGTGAACTGGAAGGGCGTATTTTCCCCGCTCCTCCCCACTTTATGCCTGCTAGCTGCCTTGTAATGAACAGTTTTCTTCAAGCATACCATTCTACCATAGCACTTCTGCTTGGAGCCTACCAACCATGTACTGAGCATAGTGAAACTGTGAACCAAAATTAACCTCTAAGTTGTAGGAGTCAGGTATTTGTACAGTACAGTGACTAATACAGAAAATTGGTACTGTATGTAGGTCCATTTCTGTGGCCATGTGGTTCAGAAGCATTGGAACTGGTTTGCAGTAGGATTTTGGAGATGTGGGCTAGAGAAGCCCTCGGTGAAGGTGAGCCTCGTAGAGCTTTCAGTAAAACAAACAGCCCTCTGTAGCACATGTGTAACAGGTTCACCAACACCGCCCTAGAATGTTGTGAGCAGTGCTTGAGGTACAATACCAGTCAGAGCTCAGAAGACCAGAGTGGTAATAGGAATATAGCCTACAGTAAAGGCCAGGCCCAGGAGGCTTCGGTTGATAAGGACTCCATTGGTTGTTGGACTAGAGGTCATGTCTGTTATACTCTGGCAGAAAGTTTGCCTAAATTTTACCCATGCCCTGAGACTTAGAGGGAGACTGATACTAAGGGTGGCAAGCTAGTCTGGTAGATTAAAGTTCAAAGCAGCACAGTGTTCAGGCTGTGGCATAGATACTGCTGGCTGTTTTTCATTTAGATCTACATTGAGAAGGGCAAACAGCAGAGCTAAATGATTTGAAAAGTTTGTAGTTTCACCAGAAAGGAAGTGCCTACAAAGTTGTATCAAAGGAAATTATGGGGGGGTTGGGGATTTGGCTCAGCAGTAGAATGCTTGCCTAGCAAGCTGGAAGCCCTCGGTTCAGTCCTCAGCACCAAAAACAAAAAAATAAACCTCCCCTAAAAAACAACTGAAAAAATACAGTAAAATCTAAAAAGGGAAGTATATATGGTTCCTGAAATGATGAGCATAAAAAAGAAGCCAAGTAATTTGTGCATGGACAAAAAGAAAGATGCCTTGGGGCATCTCGGAAATCAGGAAGATCCCACCCATCACAGGCTCAAGGGTGAAATACTGCTAAGATTTCAGTTGAAAAAAAGAGCCCCTGGGCTCTCTACCCAAGAGGGACTACCTAGAAATTTGTTCCCTAAGATTTTTTTCACAGGGCTGAACCATCCACATACACAGAAGTCTCTGAGGTCGTGATCCAAGGGCACTTGGCTACTGTTCCACTGGAGGCAGACCTCAGCATCATCCATGTAAGCTGGCTTTCCACAAATGTACACTGCAAGGGTTGTGAGAAGATCACAGAGGCTTCCATCCAGATTTCAGAAGGTCTAGGAGGCTAAGCAATGTGCCTCTGAGAAAGCAGTACATGCAGCTGTGAAATTGAAGCCAAAAATGTAGTGGAGACCCTAGGGAGTTGGAGATGCCAGAAATGAGGAGCATCTGCTGAAGAAAACTATAGCGAGCAGAACCAGCCCAAGAGAAGAGCCATGTGAACTACCAACTGTCAAGACCATGGAACAGTGCTGTCCAAGCTCTTTGGAACTCAGAACTCACCACCATGACCTCTGGATGCCAGACAAGGATCTACAGTATTTAATGTTGGCCCTGCTGAATTTCAGTCTGGCTTTAGTTCTGTTTTCTCTCTTTTGGAATGAGAATGTTTTAACTTTTTGTTTTGTTTTGTTAATGCTACTGTATGTTGAGAGTGTTCAACTTTCTTTTCAATTTTTGGGGAGTTTATAGCTAAGAATTTTCCTTGAGTCTCAGAGGAGACTTCAGACTTGGACTGGAACTGTTAAGACTTTGGTGACTTCTAGAGGTGGACTAAATATTTTATGTAATAAGACAGCCTGCGCCTTTTGGGGGACCAGGGGTAGAATGTTATGGTTTAGATCTAGAATATCCACCAGAAGTCTCATGAGCTCAGAGGTGAGGGGTGTGTGTGTGTGTGTGTGTGTGTGTGTGTAAAGGTGAGTACATCATGGAGGTACTGTGCTCATCAATGGATTAATCTGTATTGACAAATGTACTCATAGGAGACAGGGCCTGGCCAGAGGACAGGGTGGGACGTGGAAAGGTGTAGTCTTGTCCTCAGCTCCTCCCCCTCTCTCTGCTGTCTAGCTGCCATGCAGTTAGCTGTTTTCCTCAACCATAGCATTTCTGCCCTGGAAGCAGGTGACTATGGATTAAACCCACCAAAACTGTAAGTCTCTCCTCCTCTAGCTTGGAGGTGTTCAGTATTTTATCTCAGTGATAGAAAGAAACTAATACAGGGGGAAAAAAGTAAAGAATCCTGGCAATGCTGATAATATAGCAATAACAAAAACAATGTTTTTTTTTTAATTTAAATTGCCATAATAAAGCCTAATCTAATTTAAAGCCTTTGTAGTAATGTGTAAATTGCAGTTCATTGCAAAATAATCACTGGGATATGTCCACTTCCTTTTGATACTAATAATAATCTCATACCTTTAGTTTGGAAATCAAGTCTAGGAACAAAGTCCTATACTAGTTAGTTATAACACATATCTGAGACAGGCCACCTTAAAAAGCGAAAAGGTTTATTCTGCCTATTGCAGAAGTTTTAGTGTAGACCTTGTTGCTTTGGACCTGTGGCAGCACAGTACATCACGGCAGGTACATCTGTTTACTTCATAGGGTCTAGAAAACAAAGAAAGAGGAAAGTGCCAGGGTCCCTTATCTCCTTTAAGGGCTCACGTCTATGACCTAACTTCCTCCCACTAAGCCCCACCTCTCAAAAGGTTCTGCTACGTCACACAGTACCACAGGCTGAGTACAAAGTCACCAGGGCTTTAGAGGGCTATTCAAGATCCAAACTATAGCAAGCCCCTGACAGAAAGTGTTTGGTTACTTGATACAGAGACTTCTCCAACAAATTTATCCAACCATACCACAGAGAATTTTTTGCTATCCCTTTTTCTCTCCCTTGTGTCCTTCTTGACTGCCGCCACAGCCATTTGTTCTTAGCCTGGGTCTCACACCAGCCCCTCATGTATGTGTATCTTTTCTTTCTGCTGAATGAGTAGATAGATTTGGACTTCTTTTTCTGAGACCTCCATTCTGAGCAGCTGAGTCATCCCTTTTGCAAGACTGTTTGCTATATTATTCTCTCTACTTGAAAATACTTTTAAAAAGCCTTTTTCTACTTCTGGGAGCTTACTCCTGCCTCACCATTCACCCTGTACCTGATTTCATATTCTCTTAGGATTTAGGGTAGAAGCTTTAGAAATTTACACACATGCTGCACATTACCAAAGGCTAAGGAACCCCACGATAAAATGTAGATAAGAAAAGCATTTGGGAGTCAGCCCATCAAGTGGCTCTATGAATCACTAGGCATAGGAACAAAATGGCTTGTGTGGAAGGTTGAACTAGGCTGAAATTCTTCAGTCCCATTGTCTGAAGTCCTAAAGAGTACAGCAGAGAGATAAGAAGAGTCTGCCTGCTAGAGGGAAGGGAAGTTGGGTTTTCCCTTTGGTGTAAAGCCCTACTGTAGTTCTTTCCAGTATAATTTGCAGAGCAACTCTGACTCATTAAATGGTAAGTCAAGGAAAAGAAGTGGTACCTGGAAGTGCCTGTTTTGAGGTCTGATCCTATCTGTCCCTTTTCTTTCTAGGTAGTTGGAAGTTCTGGTAAGACATACACTTGTTTGGCTTCTTGTCATTACTGCTCATGTCCTGCATTTGCCTTCTCAGTGCTACGGAAGAGCGACAGCCTACTGGTAAGGACGGGGAAGGCTCTTGCCACAATAGATTAGGAAACTGTTAGCATTTACTTTATGGCTTAAGAGTTGCACAAAATGATAATTTTACTGCAAATTGAAATAGTAGTTTATTGTTCTTGGTCAGCTTTTCTGGGTTTAGCGTCCCAAAATGCAATGTCATCTTTAGAATATCAGTTTCCTGCTTTCTTATTTAAGAGATCATGGATGAAGCTTTGGGGAGACCAGCAGGTTATTCTGAAGGTTGACACTGGGCGATTAGGCAACCTAATAAAAATATGAACTAAATTGGATGTTGTCAGCTTCATATATCTCCAACTCTAGCCATGAGATGTGTCTACCCACAAACCACAGGACAGTATGATACCATACTCAACTTTTACATGAGGCAGGACTGCCTTTGCCTATCCCTCTCAGCCTTTGCCAATTTTATCACAGTTCTGAGTAGCAAACAAGGACACATTCATACACTATTCTAATGGGAAAGGTACTGCCCTCCTCAGAGCAGGTCAATACATCCTAAGCTATGCCAAAGAAGTAAATAATAGCCTGCCCTATTCGTGTCATTTTACATTATTAACTTCTTACATATTTGGGAACTAGGTTCCAGGTTGGGGTATCCCATTCACGGGGGTCATATTTGTAACTCATGTCAAGTAAGTGTATTTCACTTACAAAATGATCGGACTGACCTGGGACCCCTTCAAGATTTAAAGCTGTGTTCTGTGATGTAAAGTCCAACCGAGTTACTGCTCCAGAGTTGTATATATGCCAGTATATGTGAAAGTTCTGCCACCACCCCTCCCCCTTCCTACCTTCACTCTGGAAGGATAAGGGAAGTAGAATGCAGGCTCTGAGCATACTGTTAAAATGGGTTAGTTATTTTCATGGGGTGGCTCTCCAGTTTAATAAGAGAATCTGAGAAGCACTGAGCAGGATAGCCATTGTCATGATAGCTTTCAGAGGGCAAGGAAGCAGCTGACTGAAGCAAGGGCAGGCTTTCTCACTTTGTGATGGTGGTGAGAGGGCCTGGTTAGATTGGCTAAGTTTAGCCCTGCCTATCCCTAACAAAGTTGTGTATTTTATATTCCAGTGCAAGCACCTTTTGGCAGTTTATATTAGTCAGGTCATGAGGACCTGTCAGCAACTAAGTGTTTCTGACAAGCAGCTGACTGAAATATTGATGGAGAAGAAATAAGCAGAAATGTTTCCGATGGTGCATCATTATCTTTCAAAATAGAAATCTCATGAAGAAATACATGTAATAGGTCATGATTTACAAGGAAGAAAGATGAAGAAGATCTTCCAGATACTTCTTGGTACTGTCTGTTACCTCTTCTAGACTGCTGGAGGGACGCTGGGTGGCAGCTGTGGACTGGGGAAGTCATGCATTTGATTGGAAACTTTGTGCATCCTTCTCATGAAAAACCTAAACTAGCTTCTAAGCCTTTTGGGTGAAAAATGTCTAAGTAGAATCAAGTGTGGTTAGGTCAAATAAAACCTAATCCATGTTGTATACACAATTAGAGTCTTATGCAACTGAATTACTAATTTTTAAAAGGTTATGACAACTGATCAAACTGAATAAGAGTATATTTAGATGAAGAGATGTTGGGTCTTTTCCTTGGGTCCATAAAATTTTTCTGCAGCAATAAAATATTAGGGCAGAGACATGAGTGGACAGCTCCAAGGATTAAGACACGGGCTTCTGGTTTCAGTAAGCTTGATGCTGTGATGTTGGTGCCAAATCAGCTAAAGTATGCTGTGTCGATAGAGGGGTAGTGTCTAGGATAAGGGTAAAAGCTGGATTTGCTTTACATGTATTTCTCAGGTTTTTAATAGTAAAAGTGAAGGAACAAACTAAAAGTCATACCCTAGAACAACAGCTACAGATACTATGGACTTTCCATCTAAAGAATAGACAAACTAGGGCTGGCGAGATGGCTCAGTGGTCTAAAGCACCTACTTGGAACAAGCTTAGCAAAGCACAGGGACCGCAGTTCGATCCCCCAGCACCACATGCCAGCCAGCCCCGCCCCCTGGTGGGCTGAGCTGGCCACATACACACACACACACACACACACACACTCACTCTCTCTCTCTCTCTTACAATAAATAAATAAATGTTTAAAAAGAATAGACAAACTAGATTTTTAAGGGGAGGTATGAGTCTCAGACCCTAAGAGCAAGCAAAGGGGCATTGATAAGATAAAGATGAAAATAAGACAAGTTTCAGCCCAGGACAAAACTTTCTTAATAGGTAAAGCTGTACACGGCCAGATGAGACTCCTAGAGGACAGGAATTCCCTGTCTCTGGAGAGCTTAATAAACCTTCAGTGTCCTTGCAGGAACTAAAGCAGTGGACAGGTGAATTACCTGCTGATTCCCCTGTCCTTGTGCCTTCACACACAAGATGCTGAACAAATGCTGGGTGAAAAGCTTAAGGCTGCACTTTAGTTACAGCATTCTGTGGTTGACAGAGCTTTGTATTATGTTGAGGGGTAGCAACATAAATCTGTCAAGACTCTTCTGCTACCTAGAAACTTGGAATGAGTATGAACATCTTTTTTTGCAACCTTCAGGTTAACATGTATTATCTACACAGTAGATGTGGTTGTGTGTAACATGCCAGTGCAGCATCCTAAACTTATTTTTTTTGTTTTATTTCATAGAATATAGTTTTATGATTTCACTTGTAAAATCTTCAAAGTTTGGGTTCCAACATCTTCACCAAAGTTGAACTTGAAAGAGAAGCACAATTCACTACCTAACTCTAGAAGGGAAAGTGTCATAGAGAGGGGTCCCACTTTTCCAGTGTCTTCCTCTAAGTAGTGTTTTATATATGGAAGAGAACAGAGCTTACACTTGTTACCTGATGATAATTCTACTTAAGAATTTAGGAGACTATCATCCCCTAAACTAATAGGGCAGTTTTTTGTTTTAAGAATCATACTTTTAGTATTTTTTATTATCCTCATGAAAACAAGTATAAATTAGCCAATTTTTATTTTTTCACTGCCTCTATATTAAAAATATTTGCAATATAATAGTTCACAGTATTTCACAGTAAGTAGTTTCCGTCATTTTCAACCATGAAGGAGGCAGACTCTTCCAAAGTGTTAGAATCCATTCAGGCTGTCAGCATCACCCACACACTAAAAGCAGGCAAATAAGACCATAAATATATTTATATGTCAGTCCTTGGAGCCTACTAACAGCGTGCACGTATCAGCTAGATACATGGCAACTTTAGGCAAGTACTCAAGAGGCAGCCATATGCTTGTGAGCTGTGGCTGTTTTTCACAGTGAGAATCAGCCAGTCGTATCCTGTCCCATTGTTTATTTTGAATCTGTGCCTTCACTCCAAGAGGCCAGAGCCTAGGTCATAATTCCACGTTGAAAGCAGGTTGTATTCCAGTCTGCCCACTCCCACTCTTGATATCTGTCTGGCAGAGAACATATCTGGAGATGATTTTGTGAAAAGTATAGCGGAAATCTTGGTTCCTGTAAGCATAGACAATGGGATTGACAACCGAATTGGCATGTGACAGAAGAATGGCTGTGTTCATTGCCCACTTGGGCTTCTCCTTAGCTAGAGATGGCTGAAAGAGAGTGACACAGTTGATAGCATGTACTGGAAGCCAGCACAGAGCAAAAATCCCCATGATCATAGCCAGCGATTTGGCAGCGTGGATCTCCCGCTGAAGGGTGGTCCTCGAGTGGTGCATCAGCTCAGTACGCTGAAGCTGTCTGCAGGCTACCATGAAGATCTTGATGTAGATCACCAGCATTATGAGCAGTGGAGGCAGGACACACCCAAAGAAATTGAAATATACCATGTAGCTCATGGGGACCACATTCTCAAAGAGGCACTTCACAAGGCAGCAGCTTTCATTTGTGGCTCCATCCCAGGGCTCTGTGCAGTTGTTGGTGGCACTGTCTTTACTGTTCCACCCCAGGAATGGGGTCAATCCAATGCCAAAGGCAAGGACCCACAGGACAGCAATGACTCCTCTTGCTCGGCTCCCAGTGACCACACTTTTATACCTGTTCAAAAGAGTATCATTTGTTATGGTCAGTTTACAGTACTCTGCAACCAAAGCTCAAAAGCCCACTTCTACTTTTGTTCTGCCCTAACAGCCTCTAAGGTTCGCCCTCCAGTGCACTGTGGCACTAGAGACACATGGGGCTGAGCAACTTTGCTCTAACAAGCTCAGTACAACTCTTCTTAGTAATGCTTTTTTGTTTAATGACAAAAGAGGTCAGCAGCAAGAGGTTAGATGTCTTAAAAGTTGCTAATCGCCTCTGTACTGACCTTCGAGTCTAGGTCTTCTGTGAGGCGCTGTTCTAGCCTGTGAACAGAACAAACTAAGATACACGCTACATGCTAAGGGACCTACATTCTAGTGGGAGAAATACAACTAACGAGCATGATCAGCAGTGGAGATGCATGTGGTATGAAAAAGAAAGAGTAAAGGAAGAGTAAAGGCCAGGATCATCAAGAAGTGGGTCCCGGGAAGCTTCATTGATAAAGTGACATTTGAACACAGGCCTGATGAAGTATGTTTTAGAGCCTCTGGAACCAGGCAGCACACTTCTGTGGCTCTGGGCAAGAATCCTTTTCTTCTCCCACAAATAAACTATGAAGTTTGCCTCCCAGTACAGGCAGAATTATTTCTGAATATGTCTACAGATTTCTGGGGGAAAAAAAATTCTGGCAGTGCCCGTCTGTAGGGAACTGTTAACAGCATAGTTAATAAAATTGGGAAATAAATAATAAGTGGCCCATAATATGTATTATAATTTATAAATCAGTATATTCAATATAATGTATTAAGTAAATAAAATCTTTCAGTAACCTCTAGTAGAAAAACTGGAAAATACCCTGATTCACAGTACTTAAAGAGTTATCTGTGAAAAGTATCCATTTTCCTTTGCCTGTAGTATAAAGCTTGAAACTTGAAGCTTGACCTGCACAGCCCCCCAGACCTTAGTGCCACATACACAGTGCCTCCTTCCTAACCGATGACCAGTCAAATGCCTGTTCATTTTCCAAGGGTCACCTCTTAGGCAGGACACACATTTTCAAACATGCACTTGTCATAAATCCTAACCCTAGCTAGAATGCCAACCTCCTGAGTACTGGGGCTGTGTCTCTTTGTATTGGTATCCTCACTGCCTGGTACACAATAGGTTCTTGATAATATGGTCACTACTGACACAGTTCTTACTTGTTACCTGATTTATCGAGCAGCTTGATGCTGTGATCCCAACATGCAAGAGAACTGGTACAGTTTGCTGAGGTCTTGCCTCAGAATTTACAGTGACCTCTAATCTTCCACTCCCTGTGAGGGAATCTCTGAACAACAGGAAACTCAGTTGGAAGCCTAGTGGGCTGAGTTGCTCACTAAATTTCTCTTGGCCAATGAATCCATCTATTGCTAAACATATTTTGCTTCCTTCCTTATTTGGGAATGTAAAGCCTTTCTTTAAAAAAAAAAATGTTTTTCCTGACCACTGCCTCACTAGAGAAGTGAATAACACAATTAGTTCCTGCAGAATAACAAGGCAGCCTCTTGAAGGCCAAGCACTTAGCATCCAGGTCTGGGAGGCAGCCTACCTCCCAGCCCTGCTCTTCACAGGACTCAACTATTGAGTGCAGCTGATTGTAGGTCGAACCTAGTGGGTGGATTCTATGGAGTAAATCATGGCACTCCTGTTCTCTTTCTGGTGATTGTTTAGTAGATGGTGAAATGATTCTGATCAATAAACAAGACATAAAAGGAAGACTGCTAGAGGACCTCAAGGACAGATTTTATTTCCTGATAAAAGGAAAGAGATCCATGAAGACAACTTTGTCCTCAAGCCAATCCTTTTCTGCTTTTGGTGCTCTTGTGGGAGAGTGATACCCAACATTGTAGTAGCCATCTTGTGACCATGAAGGAGAATCCTGAAAATACAGCCAGTAGGCAAAGCAGAGGGAAAAAGGAGCTCACATCCTTGAAGACATCTTTGAAAAACTGGCCCAACCCTAGAACCATCATGGCTCCATATACTTCTTCAAGAGATCAATGTTCTGATTGCTTATACCACTATAAGATGCTGTTACCTAGAGCCCAAAGCATGCATTCTGGAGATTTTCATCTCTTCCAGTCCAACTCCTCTCATTTCATAAATGAAAAAACAGAAATACAAAGTCTGTAATAAGCCAACAAAGGTCAGAAACTGCATCAGGGCTCCCAAGTCTGTGTTACCTGCCCTGTGTCATGCTTTTATTTTACTTTAAAACATGAATACTATATATGGAGTAATAAAGAATAATTATTGAGGCAGCTTACCACTACATCTATGGAAGGAATCCACCTACATCTAAACTTTTCAAAACTGCGACATCTTGCATATGTATATAATTTTTTAATAGCAAATTGTCTTATATAAGGAAAGAAAGACAGCTGATTCCATCAGAGGAGCAGTGGACCACAGCTTCCTCGGGCTCCCATCACCACTTCCACTGGTCATTATTTCAAAGAGTTCATCCTTTGTTCCACGCATTCTGTGAGGTACTAGAAACCCAATCCCTGCCCTCAGAATATAAACTAATGGAAGTGACAGAAAATAAATATAAACGTG